CGGCATCTTGCAGCCAGCATACGGCGTCGCCGTCGCCTCTGTACAGAGGTTCTATGTCATGATGAGACCAGGGTAAACACGCACTCCGCATCGTCCGGTGTCACCCTCACTGTCCGCTCCTTTGGAGCCTTGATGTTATTAACATCAACAACATCCGACGAAGAGCTGCATTTTCCGTAGTCTTCGTCGAGTGGATAACGTGCCGTTCCACGCGCATCGAAAGGGCCTTGTTCAAGATGCCTCGGCCCTCGTCCGACCATGCCACTCGTCGCATGCAGCAACTGCTTTGAAACGTGAGCAGTGCTTAGTGATTGATAACCACTTCACGCGCATCACAAGGGCCTCGCCCTTGATGCCTCGGACCTCATCCGACCATGCCAGTTTTGGTATGTCGCAACTGCTTCGTACTGGAGCAGTAGCTAATGGGTTACGTGCCACTAAAGGTGCATAATTGAGGCCTCGCCCTCGGGACCTGGGCCCTAGGTCATCCATGTCACTCTTGGGATGCGGCGACTGCTCCAATACTTGAGCAGCGCTCAGTGGGTTACGTTCCACTCCACAATCAGCCCGCGAGCCTCGCTCGGGACTCCTGACCAAAACACTTTTGATGTTCGATGACTCGGAAACTTCAATATCCAGCACATTGACCGTCCCGGTCCAATGCCCGCGCCAATAGAGTTTCTGCTTTTTAGCAGAGGTGGGGTCATGACTCAACAAAGCTCCGCCAGGAGACATGCGCGTAGTGCCCAAGGTCCTTGACCTCCAATCAATACATGACTTATGGTGTTCCAACCATGCCATTCCAAGTATAAGGTCATGCTTGCATCCAAGTTAAGACTAAGCGGCGTTCTACGCTATCAAAGTCAAGGAACTTGACACCTAGGTCCACAGGAATTCTTGGCACAGTGACACAAGTCCCTGTCGCTATGCGAAAAGTGACGGTGTCACTCAACCCAGCTTTCAGCGCCTCAGCATACAGCTGACGTTTTCGATCGTGGAGCGTCAAGCGTAATTGCCCGACGCTTCGGAATCGGTAAAGAGTTTCCATTGCTTTTCCAAGCCCTTCACAGTCGCTTTTACGACCAGCAAGCCCGGCTTGCACACACGTATCGTGTTCAGAAGGATGAAGCTCTACCGCTTTGAGGCTCAACAGAACTCAATCCTTCTCGGCAGGACGCACTGGGTGTACTCGATTACCCGCGTCAAACCTGGTTCATTAGTAGCCGGACGTCGGATCGACGAATCTTTACGTGCCTTGCGCAAGGAACAACCCGTCTGAAGGTGGCGGGTGTCTCCGCAAACAAAACCCGTCGAGTGTTTACACGCTGCTCAGCAGCTCGAAGCTCACCTTCCTCCTTCTCAACATAGCTGAAATCCATTGGGTCAGGCCCGATCAACGAGCATTGAGGGTGTGAATTTCAACCAAGTCGCGCGCGACTTGAAGTCGAATTCTGCATTTAATGCCGCCTATATCTCTTCAAGAAGATGAATGCACTCGGTAGACTTCCATCCTGGTCACGTCAGTTCGGAGGCATTCCATAAAGACAATCGCTGTGATCAACTCGGGAAGTATATCTGCCGCCATCCCGGCAATTAGAGCTCTCAACTCCTGGACAAAGTCCACCAATTTTTTTTGTCTTGTCAGGCGGCAAGGAAACGCGACCGCACGCGATATGCCTGATTTGGCGGCGAGTATACTCGCAAAAGCTACCGTTTCAGCTCTTCCAGGAGGGGAACGCAGCTTCAACCAAAGCACCGCACGTTACTGCCCCTTCTCGCGCTCGGCTCCGAGCTTGGAGATAGCTAGTGCAGCAAGAGGTTGCTCGTTCTTGAGCATTGCGGATGCCATAGCCATCTCGCCCTTGCTTATCCAGAGCAAGAGATTCTCTTCAACTTACCCTCGAAGGTCTTTTCGCCGCCATGAGCGGCCTAGGTCGGGAGGAGTCATCTGTCGTTGATCGTGGCATCATGAATGCAGTCGACGCTGACGCTGTAAGTGCTCTGACAGAGCATTATCAGAGATTGAATATGCTTCTAGGTGCGATTATCGCATCGGGACCTTGCAAAACAATTTGTTTTACCCTCAAAACCAAAGAGGGACATCAGCTTTTAAAGGCGAACCTTCATGCCCTGGTGTATTGATTTATCCACACAGAGAATCAGTCGAACGAGTCAGGCGTAGATGGACTACGAGTGCTACAATTGCAGTGGGGCTGCCGGAGCTCTTTGGTCAGAGGAAGCTAAGCTAAGGTCACCGACTTTAAGTTCTTTATCAGAATCAGTACGAGTGCAGCGGATTGCAGTCCGCTGCCTCCAAGGGTAACTAAAGCCTTAATTAAGGTAAGTGGAACCTCCCGTTCAAAATTGAAACTGTATTTAATTGTTTTGGTTGCGGCAGAGCCGCCAGTATCTTTATTCTTAGATTTTCAAATTAATATGGTAATATCTAATTGATATATTAAAACCTAATCAAAATGCATAACTACTAGCAATCCTGCCGCCTAGTGGCTTCTTGTTACGGTGTAGCCACACAATTATGTGGTTACATTAACTTGTGTAATCCACACCTATGCACGGTCACGCCATCTTGTGTGACCCGCTCTTTCATACAAGGGTACGTGAAACCCCGTTACAGCTGCTCTAGAGCAGAAGCCCCAGGGTAATATATGTGTATCGTCTTAAACATAGCGCTTTACACTCGACTCGCCGTGAAAGCAGATCCGTCGTACAGCTTCAGCAGGCCCATGTAGATCAACGAATGTGTTCGTCAACTCTTCAAGGTATCAGGAGTATAACTAAATATATTCTGGCTTCAATAATGAATCCTCCTATGTAGCGAGGACTATTCTTGATTTCTAGACCGCAAATAATGCAGGTGTGGAGAGGTTAATAGCGTTTGAAAAGGCATTTCTAACTACTGTAACACTAAGTGTGCTTTGTCTGCCACTTGCATCTGTATGCTGCACTTACGTATCCTGGCTTTAAGACAAAGCGTCGCACATCTGAAAAGAAATCGTTGATATCTCTTGGAAGTTTAGCCAGGCTGGTAATAGTCATCGAAACGAATTGACAGCCCCTCACTAATTTAAAGGAAGAAGATTAACTAAACTGTTATCAAAAATGATGAAAGGCTAGTAAGGGATTAACCAAACTGTAGAAGATTAACTAAACTGTTATCAAAAACGATGAAAGGCTTGTAAGGGATATTGGGTACGATAAAACGTAAAATAAATGAGTGGTACATCTTGAACCGACACCGCGGCCTTTGTGCAAATGCTGTGGAAAATAATATTGTCATGCAATCAACGCTTTTTGTCGGAA